AATTTTTTTTTCAGAAAGTATATTGGTTTGTGTTAAACTTTCATTCAGTTTATTAATTCTATTACATAATGAAGATATCTAGATAACTAGTAAGAAAGCAAAATATGGAAATTATTTTCTCATGACTTAAATGAAATATCAATGTACAAAATATTGTACTACAGCAGATAAGAAAGCATCTACTATAATTGTTTTTAATATTTAGAGGACATAAGAGTACTGTGTTGTTCATGCACATTAGCAAATTAAAAATTATTCATGAGCTGCTTGAAATTGGTGAAGCAAGTATTAAGGGACAGATAGTTCAATTAGGTAAATATCTGAAAATCCTACATTTCTAGTTCCAGTAATTATCCATGTTAAGAAATAAAAGATCCCATAAATATCTAGAAAAAAATCTGTATCTTTTGCATGTGCTTGCAAAAGGTATGCTGCTTTCTGCTTTATTTAAGGATATTTTAGTTTATCAGGATGTGGAGATTTGTTCAGGAAATCAGACTCCAGGTTATGTGTTTTCTGATCACAAAATTTCAACTGCCTGCTGAAGTCTAGAAATCCAACCTTACGATAAAAGGTAGCACAAATGTTTTGTGTGCTAAAGAAGGAGGATTCTCTTTAGGCTTTCCACACATCATTTATTTTAAATTCACATTGCATCTTATTTTCAAAACTCCAAAATCATATTACACGGACTTTACTTCCTTTATCAAAACATCCTGATTCAATTTTCATATTAAAGAGTTTTGAACGTGACATCATGTATGGAATCAAAAGTAGAAGTTTGTTCAATCTTACCTCCAGGAATATTTTGTGATTCTAAGGTAGGTCTAAAGGGAGCACATCTATAAGGAGAGAGCTTATAGATTTTATTGGAAGATGAAATTTAATTGATAAACTATGGAGTACATGAAATCACTCCATGTATATTAGCAGGCCTTTTTATTTTTATTTTTCTTAATATATTTGGTACAGGGTCTTACTATGCAGCTCAGACTCGTAGTGATCCTCCTGTTTTCAGCCTCCCCAGTGCTGGGATTACAAGGGTGCACCACCGGCCTCGACTCAGCAGAACTTAAAAGAAAGACTTGTTTCTTTCAGAAATTTTAGTTTTAGTATAAGTAAAATAAAAATAACACATGAAATACTAACAGTGTAAAGCTTGTTAAATTGAGGTGCTATAAAACAAAAAGTATAGCTGAGTTAACACATCTATAATATTCAAATAACAACTTAACAAAAAAAGGGGATACAGATGAATGTCCATTTTGTATCTTTGTATTCAAAGTGGTTAGGATAGATATAAAGTTACATTCTCTTAATGAATAGAGGGATTTGTTCTAATAGTGTTTGTAAATAGGATATCATGTCCGCATCTTGTACAGCAATTAACCACCAGGAAGAATGTATGCAATGTGTTAATTATTGAATCTGTCCTACCAATTTGACTTGAAACTGTTTCATTGCTATTTGTTTCTCAATAAAATTATGGAAAAAAGTATAGAAAATATTGATAAAGGTTAAATAAATTTATGATGGCTGTGGAATGCAATGTATTAAGGTGTGCTGGTGCTTCCGAAAGATACAAAATTTAAACAATCGGCAGATTTTCTAATTCAGGTTGCAGCTAATGATGTAAATTTTCCTTATCAGAACAGTGTCATGCTTTGAACAGGAAATTTCAAGCCTTGCAAATATCTTATTCAAGTATATCTTTATGATCTGTGTGGGTAACAATAAAAGCCCCCAAATCACATCAAAGAGCCCCACACAATTTGATACGTAACTATATATAATTATAAATTATATATAGCAAATTACATAAATTATAAATATATATTTATATATTCTATCTTTGCTTCATTGCTTATCCTAAAATGTTTTGTAATGTACATTCTTTTCTGTTATTGTCTCTTAGGATCTACCTCAAAAATATTTCTCATTTTTGAGAAATAAAATAAACCTTTAGTAGGTTTTATTCATATCTCTCAGTGATACCATGTACTATATTTTAAAAATTAGTATAGTTTATTTTTCAGATAATATGAAATTTTTAAAATTTAAATTTACATCTAAATTAATTCTGACAAGTATTTGAATTTTAAATTTAAGTAGATTTTAAAAGGAGTGTAGGAAGTAACCATGACAAATATTTATTCTGATTTGAAAAAGTAAAGTTTCTTTTAACAATTTATGTTTTTCATGTATTTTTGCTTGTGATTAAGTGACATACAAAATTAAATATGATTTCTCTTTCATATGTCTACCATGTAATGCTGTAAAAATTGTGTGATTTTAAAGTCAAAATTGTAGATTAGATTATCATACTTTGAATTTTTCTGTAATGTGTACTTTTTGTCCAGAATTTATACATTGTTTTTATTGAAACTGTGATTTTGATATTAAATGTCGTTTTTGTGCCCTTATTGTTATCGTAAGATGACTTTTTGTACTTGAAATTGAACTCAGGACCTCGAGCTTGCCAGGCAGGTAATGTGCCACAGAGCTATATTCCCAGAACTTTAAGATGACTTTGAAGGCTGGCATATAACTCAGAAGACTAAGCACTTGCTTAGGTAAGCGCAGGGTCCAGCGTTCAATCCCTGACACCACATGCCATGCCGGCCCCGCCCCCAGGTGGGCTTAGCCAGCGATGGAGTCCGGATGTGGTAGTGCAAGCCTGTAATCCCAGTGCTAGGGAGGCAGAAATCAGGAGGATCAATATAAGTGCGAGCTGTGTAGTGAGACCTGCCTCCTTCTAAAAATAAAAAAAAAAGACTGACATGTTTTAATACTTTGCTGTAAAAATGTTTTGCAATAATTATAGAGAAAAATTTTCTGACACTTTAATTTAATAACAGGGATCTCCCTATATCACTCCCAAATTTCTTAATAATTTTGGAATCTAGCATAAAAAAGAAAAACAAGAAAATTAAATAAATTTTCTCTCTGGAAGATACTACAAATTAATGAAATAAAGACAACAGTATTTCAGCTATTAGAGATGAAACTAAAACTTTTCACTCCATGTTTTTGAAACACAGGAATTACTTTTTAAACCTGTAATTACTGTTGTCAGTTATTTATAGTCCCTATTTTCTAACAAACATTCTAAAAAAATCTGTTTTTTTTTTGTAAGATGCAGGCATGATGTCTACACACTATTAGTACATTATTTATTCTCATTGAAGTAAGAGAAAGTAGCTATATATCTATCCTAACTATTTTGTATATACAGATATATATA